TTGTGATGAATTGTGTTTCTTTTTGGGGAAATTTTGTTTGTAGACGTCTCAGGGAGCTTTTCCAAGTGGATCCAGCTGAGTATATGTTAGCTATATGTGGAAATGATGCTCTCCGCGAACTATCTTCACCTGGAAAGAGTGGAAGTTTTTTTTACCTAACTCAAGATGATAGATTTATGATCAAAACGGTGAAGAAATCTGAAGTCAAGGTTAGTAGTTGTTGCCTCTTCTTGTTTTTGACCTTTCTCTTGTCATATTTGAAAATGCTTGTCTGTTCAAGTTAATTTACTTGATTAGCGGATGGGACACCCTTTTGTTTGTTTGTTTCTTTGCTTTCACATTACTTTCTCAATCATAAACTCCACTAAGTCTGTGATTAGCTAATGAAATTTGACCTGAAGCATTTGTCTTCTTCTATCCAGGTTCTTCTAAGAATGCTTCCAAGTTACTACAAACATGTCTGCCAATACGAAAACTCCCTTGTGACTAGATTCTACGGTGTTCATTGTGTCAAACCTGTTGGTGGCCAAAAGGTATGTGTTTGTTCATCTAAAGCTTCATGGGTCTCTTAGTGTCAAGAAAATTTACTGTTTTCTTTACCATTTTTTATCAGACTCGGTTTATCGTCATGGGCAACTTATTCTGCTCCGAGTATAGAATCCAGAGACGGTTTGACCTCAAAGGGTCTTCTCATGGACGTAGCACTGCAAAGCCTGAAGGAGAAATTGATGAGACCACGACTCTCAAGGACCTTGATCTCAATTTTGCTTTCCGTCTTCAGAGAAACTGGTATCAAGAGCTTATGAAGTAAGCTCCATGCTTCTCAGTATTTTTTGCTTATGCAAAGTATTCAGCAACATAAACATGTGTCTAATGCTGATCGGTATTCATTATCAGGCAAATAAAACGCGACTGTGAGTTCTTGGAAGCCGAGAGGATAATGGATTATAGCCTTTTAGTTGGTGTTCACTTCCGTGATGACAACACAGGAGAAAAGATGGGTCTCTCTCCATTCGTTTTGAGATCTGGTAATTTAGACATCATTCTCTATCTGTGTCCCCCCAGTGAAATCGACCTATTGTGAAATTTATGTCAATATCTTGTGCAGGTAGGATAGATTCATATCAGAATGAGAAATTCATGCGCGGTTGTCGCTTCCTAGAGGCTGAACTTCAAGACATGGACCGGATTTTAGCTGGCAGGTAACAATCATTGATCCGGGTTTCATTTTTAATGTTAAGAAGTTGACTTCACACAGAAGAAGCTTTTTGCATTCATAGCCATTGAGACATGGAGTGGTTGAGGGTTTCAATTTCGGATTAGTATTATTGAATGATTAAATCTGCTTGGCAATCTTGTGGGGAGTGTGAAAACAAGTCATGTGGTCCTGTTTGCTAGAAAAGAATCAATCAATTCATGATTCATCAATTTTTGCTTAATAATCAATCTTGTGTTAACAGGAAACCATCGATCAGATTAGGCGCAAACATGCCAGCAAGAGCTGAACGAATGGCCCGGAGAAGTGATTTCGATCAGTATTCATCAGGAGGAGCGAATTATCCATCTCACGGTGAGATGTACGAAGTGGTTCTCTACTTTGGAGTCATTGACATCTTGCAAGACTACGACATAACCAAAAAAATCGAGCATGCGTATAAGTCACTACAAGTCGATCCTGCTTCGATCTCAGCTGTTGATCCTAAGCTCTATTCAAAGAGGTTTAGAGACTTCATCAGTAGGATCTTCATTGAAGACGGCTAAAGATAAAGAAGGCTAAGAATTTTAACTAACATTCTCGGCTTTTTGCTCTACGGAAATGTGAAAAAAGGCTGCGCCGGGAAGGGTAAAAACTAAAAAGGTAAATCTCAAAGATAGAAGAAAGGCGATTTGGGAATTTTATTTACATATATTTATGAGATGATCAATCAAGTTTTGGGTTGGGGAGGGGCTTTATTTGTTTTTGTGGTGAGCCGTTTATATATAATTTAATATATGTGAATATAGATTGTGAAGGTTTTTAGTACATATAGGCAGACAAAAAATTTACAAGGAAATGGAAGAAAAAAAAGGTTTGGAAATTCCGAAAATGTGGAATAAAGTAAAGTGTACAAGTAAAAAAGAAAGAAAGAAAGTAATAGCATTATTATTTAACTCTATTAATCCCATATTCTCATAGGATCCCTCTAACTATCCAAAGTTAAGGGGTCCATTATCTTTGTTGTTGTTTATTTTCTTTCAATATAACTTTACCAATTGCATACTCTATGTACCTAAAGCAATGTCAATGGTAAACAGTAAATACGAAATAGTTGATTAGTAAAATAGTAGTTGGTCAAAGAAGGAAGAGTTGAATTGGGGTTGGTTTCCTGAAAAGTAGAGAAAGCTAAACTAGAACACCACATGTCTTTTGCTTACATTCTTTTTTCTTCTTTAAGAAATATTTTCGAAAATGTTCTCTTAAATCTCTTAAGAGAGTCTAGTTTTTGTATGTGATATTGTAGTTGCTTTTTTTTTTCTCTTAAACTTTACATGATATTGTATTTTATTTACATTAGAAGAATTTTTATCTGTTTCATTTCTGAAGTAAACAGTAGACAGTTATTGTTTTTTTTTTTTTTTTTTTTGTTTAATACTTTCTACAGTCCAATAATTGCTTTTCATTGGTAATAATAAACAACTCTTGTTGCAAAAGAACATGTAAATGTACACCAGCAAAAGTAATTAATCCCATTAATTAATAAACAGCATATAGACATGAGTCACATGATATCCTATTCACAGATCCACTAGATGTTAAAAGCTGACATATTATCTAAGAACTACAATGCCTAGATATTAATTGATTATACCAATTTGGAATTTGAAATAAGTAAATAAGATGAAATCCTACCAATAGGGGTAGAGAAGAAAGTAACAAAAGTCAGAGTTACAAAAGTCATAATAATTAAGTATTTAAAAGTTTCAACTTATTGGTTTAAGCGCAATTAACTAACATGTCATCATCTTCCCATTCTCTCAGATTCTAGTGTCCAAAATCCCTAAGTAATAAATTAATAGTAATTGTCTTTGTTTAAGACATCCTGACAAAATTTACAGGTATTGTAATCTTAGTCAACGTTTAATCCTTTTGTAATAGAATTATTGGGATCAATTCCATTTTTACTTCTTTGAAAGAGTTTTTTTTTTCGTTTTTAATGTTATCATTAGCGAGAAAAAAAAAGAGAGTAATTTTAATTCCCTTAATCAGAGAGAGTATGAAATGAGAGAGTATGAAAAGGGCAGAGGTTAAAAGAGTAGCTTGTAGGTGTCTGTCAAATCGTTGCATGCCTAATATTCCTTTCTTTTCAATTTTAATAACATAAAGATTACCAATTTTCTTAAGAAAGTTATAGTATTTGTTTATTCCTTTTTACTGCGTTGGTCAAAGACATTACCAAACATACAGTAGTAAGATCTTTTGTCTCACCGGCTGATCTCCAACGTCTTGTATATTATGTCATTCATGTCTGTCTTCTAAAAACTGGAAATATTGACGTAAATCTTTTAAGTCGATCTCATCTTTTAAGTTTTAATACGAGTACGTGTACGTCGATTTATACATGGAAATCAATAGCATTTTAGAACTTTGAATTTTGAAAGGAAGAATTGAGTATGAACCTTTTGAAGGCTTTTTATTGGAAAATGTATTTGGGCTAGAAGTCAATTCTAGGCATGATTCATTATCCACCTTTCTCGGTGAATAATTATGTTATCCTTTAAGATTTGCCCTTTATTCTTTCGATCTTAGAAACAATAGTTTAATACATATGTTAGTCGTAAGTTTCAATACTTACAACATGATAGTAAATTTGAAGTTGTGGTATCTCGCATTAATTCTTCATTTACAAAATCTGATACAATAAGTCAGACGGTTATAATTTAGTGGTGTTATACCCGAATAAGCTTGCTTGTTATTTTATTGGTTCGAAACATGGTTGAGCTGTGTTTCTCCACGTATGCTTTTCCTTAACATTGCAATATAAGAACTGAGTGGTGCAAACATATTTTACGATAGTGTGGGTTTCGATTGGGAAAATTTGTTATTAAAAAAAGAAGATGTAGTTTTCATGGATTCAGACACATGGGGTGTGAGATTTTGACAATGGAGGCCCAAATGAAGACAAGAAGAATGGGAAATTAGGGATTGGTCTCAACTTTGGGACTATGTTTGTCTGAAGTTGAAAAAGCCACCAAATGTGCCCATTCGTGTATTTTTAAAAAAATGAGCTTACATTATTTTTTTAACATCCCAACATAATGTCCCACCATGAAGGGGACATCTCCCTTAGCTATCCCTTTCTCATTATTCTTGTATTTCTATAATTCTTTCGTTTGTTACAAATAAATTGAAAGAGGTATAATTTGTCGAAAAAATATAACAAAAGTAATCACTAAAATAAGCAAGGATCTTTAGAAGCATTATCCTAATACTAATGATGTTGTCTTTCACTTCCTCGAGAAACCTCGTGACTCATGACACTATTTAAATATACATACAAATTGCAATACATTGGATGTTGCGTAGGTGATCATTCTTTTGTAATAATATAATCATGAATGAGAACACTAATTAAGGAAATATCTATTCCTAATCTTTCATATCTTTTATATCATCCAAATTTTTATATCTCCATGGTTATTCTTCATATGTATCCCATTTATAATTGTTTTCCTCACTCTCTTGATATGTACATAGACCTTCTAAGATTTTATAAAAATTGATCTTAGCTACGTTGACACTCAAAAAAATTTATTTATGTTTATTTATATGTTCATCTTATTATCACTTAATCACTGTGTTAATACTTACGTAACTTTTTGCTTCATACGTTGTCAATAGCTAACTTCGTATTTGGATAATATATATATATATATATATATATATATATATATATATATATCGTCTTAATTATAATTGTGTCATTACTTAGAACCCAATGTCTTAACTATAATAATTTTAAGACTCAAAACTGAACAAAACCATGAAACAAAAATATATTTTTGAAATAACGTACTAGTGGTGCACAAATTACTCTTTTGAAAGCCCAACAGTCCAAACAATTTGATCATCTAGAAGTCTTCTGAGATACAGTATGTTCTATTCTGTTTTAAATTGGCTTCTTATGTGAAATTTACTAACTCAGAACCAGATTGATAGCTTCAGGAAAACGCTCGCTCGCACTCGCAGAACTCAGAATCAGCCTTATCGAAATCGTTCTCAGGTGAAAATCTCGATCTCTCTATCTTCTTCTCTCGATTTCTTGATCTCCCTAGATTGTCTTTGTTTTGCAAGTATTTCGAATTTGTTCGATTAGGTGAATATCGAATCTAGTTTCGCAAATAGGTTTGAAAACTCTCTGTCTTAGAACGGACAGTTTCGAGCCTTGATTTGGTAGTGTTGTCTCAATGTTGAAATTAGGAGAAGTAGGTTTGAGAACTCTCTAACAGATGTATCGCTATGATTTTCGGCCTGAAATTGAGCTTGTGTTTGACAAATCTCTAACACAAGTGTAGTTTCTGCTCTGTCTTAGAAAGGAAACCAGTGTTTGGAGGTGTTGAAATTGATGTGGTAGTGTCTCTTGTTCTTAGCCGATTAGGAAAATTAGTCAATGTCTATAAACCAACAGGTTTTGTGAACTCTCGCTAGGAATATTGTTATAGAATTGATGTTGTTTTTGGGATACTCGGATTCAAACCAAACAAAACAGTTTTGGATCTCAAATTTTTTAACAGTTTATTAGGATACACTCTCTATATAAAACAGGTTTGTCAACTCTCTAACACAACTAATCTCTTGTTTTTGTTTTTATTTTAAGATATATCGTGAAACCCTTGTTGTTTGATATTCGGGTTTATGATAATAATAAAATTTGTTTTTGTGAAAAATAATAAATGGATAGGAATATAAATAAATGGGCCGGGTTAAATGGTAACTAACTCTAAATGATTATAAATGGGTTTATAGTTAAATGGGGCCTTGGAGAAATTTTCGCCATGGGAGATGTGTCTTTGAAGACAAAGACAAACGGGACTATGATCTTTGGAGTAGACCTTGCATTGGTTCAGGTGCTATACATCAGTACAACCTTATATTAGTACACTATCTTTCTCTGTTTCTTTTTGTTTTGTCAGATCATTAAGTCTTAATTCAACTCACGTAGGGAACCACCAAGAAGAAGCCTACGAGAGGAAGAAAATAGATAAACGCATGCTGGTTTTCTGATACAACCGTATACGACATCTTTGGTTTTTTCGTCACAACCACAAAATCGGTTTTACGTCAAAACCACAAAATTGCGTTTTAGCACCAAAAAATGTTAACGGAAAGATTGTTTAAGAATTAACAACAACAAAAAATAAAATTAAAACCATATATAAAAAAAATCTAATTACTTAATAAATACTTTAATAATTGATCTTAAAGAATAAATTAATTAAAATGTGTATTGATTAAAATTTAAATGGGCCCGGTTAAATGAGTATAAATGGGTTTATAGTTGGGTTTACTTATTTGAGCGTGTGTATACTCCCGGGGGGCTTCAATACAGGCCAATTAATCCCGAGCCCTACGAGAGTCCGCCGCCTGATCAGGCTTCTTCTACAAAAAGGCATAGACAGAAGTCAAGAGTTGGCAACAAGGAAAAAACAAAAAACCTAAAAGCACATGTCGCATAATTTGGTAATGGAGGACTTGGAAGAAATTGGTACAGAGGGCATGTATATCGAAGAAGTATTATACGACTATGCTACAGAGGGCGTGTATATGGAACAAGTATCATACAACTATGAGATCGACCACAATCCTAAACCTGAAGACGAGGGAAGAATCAAAGTCTATGCAAGTATCCAATTGCCGGAAACCTTAGAATTTACCATACTAAAATTCTCCTTGTCTGCCAAAGAATTTTCTGATAGCTTGGGTAGTTATAGCTGGGAACAACTAAATTGCTTAGAGGACGATGAACGTCTCAATTTTTTGCAGGTTCAGGAAGCGAGAATGGAAATCCCTAGACTTGTTTCTAACGTCATGTTATACTCGGTCAAGTATCCCACAGATTGTGCTTTAATTTATATTACCTTTCTTTTCAATCCCCCTGAAGAGTATAGACGCACACCCCAAGTGGCGTCTGCGACGACATCTGAAGAGGAGGAGGATATGATGCAAGTCTCGTTTGATGAGAGCACCATTGATATCCAGTTTAGACCGGCAAGTAAGTTTGCGGTTGAGTCTTTGTCAAGGAGAGTATACGAGAAGACCAAGTACTCCAGCTGCGACGACATGTGCCCTATATGTCTTGATGAGTTTAAAATGGGAGAAAGAGTCGTTACCTTACCCTGTGGACACGAGTTTGACGATGGCTGTGTCCTCAAGTGGTTTGCCACCAATCACGTTTGTCCATTGTGCCGTTTCGAACTAGCTAGCTAGTACTTGGGTGAAACGAACCCTATAAGCAGGGAAACTTCTTTTTTTTTTCAATAAAGTTTGTTTGTTCGTATCATTCAAAACGTTTCCTTTGTATTTTTGTACCAACACTTTGATAATTTGATATCTTGCTATATTTCATAATGCCATTGTCTGTTTTCCTTTGAATTTGTGTATCATCCATCACTTTTGATATATAACCAATTCTGATGATCTACTTGAAATCAATTTTAGCCCATGCAGAAGCAAAGACGAAAACCAAATCATTTGTAAAACACTATAAAACCCAATCCGCAGTAGTGATGGATATTGACAATGCACAAATAGTCCATGAGACCGCCGCTGATATCCCGTTTAGCTAGACCGGCAAGTAAGCTTGCGGTTGGCTCTTTGCCAAGGAACATATACAAGAACAATAAGAAGAAGAGGTCCAACTCTGACGCCAGCAGGTGCTCAATTTGCATGGAGGAGTTTAAAAAGGGAGAGATAGTCGTCACCTTACTTTGCGGACACGAGTTTGACGATTGCTGTATTATGGACTGGTTTGCGACCCGTCATGATTGTCCATTGTGCCGTTTCAAGTTACCATGTGAAAATTAGATGAGCTAACTAGTCATTGGGGGACAAATCAAAGGGGTGAAAGGGAACTTAGAATTTTAAGATTTTCAATCTTGGGCTATTTTTAGAGGTAGTGTTTTCAATTAATCACTTGGACACTACGTAATGATGACCCTTATATGGCTGTTCTTGATGAGTGACGAGGCTGCAGAATCTTAGATGGCCTTTGCTTTGGTCATATATATTCCCCTGAACATCATTGTGTGATGCATTTTGCCATTTTTGTGCTCAGATTTTTTGACCCAGCCCTCGGGAACTAGAAGACTTTTAAGGGCTTTGTTTCGTTTGCCACATTCACAAAAAAAAATTAAAAGGTTCCTAAAGATGTTAATTTGGAATCCCAAGGTTCATCAAGAAAATTTTAAAACAAATATTACAAGATATAGCTATGATTAAATTAAAAGATTTAAGAGTTTAATACAATAATGTTTTGCAACAATCAAATAAAAAAAAGGTTTTCGGCAGATAAACAAAGATGGAAAAGATTTATCAGAGGAAATGGATCCGACAGTTTGATGAAACTCTAGGAAGCTTCATAAGAGCATTGGTGATTCTCAGGTACGTATTATTAGCATCGTTGTCTTCTCGGTGATCCACTTCAACACCCACCTTGACAGTCTCCAGACATTTCAAATTTGCCAAGAAATGACTCATCTGCTTCTGCTCACGACAAGTTCCGCGATACCCTGAAATGTTTAACACCTTCACTTGACATGTCGATAAACAACATTCTCCCTTCTTCTTATTAGTAACTTTGTGCACAAGTCCCTGAAATCGAAAGGAAATTCATGTATAGCAACAAAGAATAACAAGTGTTGATCAACAGAAATTTGATATACATTTACCTTGATGACTAAAGTTTCTAGGTTTGGAGAGCTCTTGAGAAGAAGTGGCACCACTTGCCAGCCTCTTTCTTTGTCACTCTCAAACGATAACGTAAGGAGGTTTTGAAACGCTGGCATTGCTTTACACAGAGAGTGAAAAACCTGATTTATCACAACCAAAACAAATCTTGTTAGCTAGCTCCAAATTGAAAAACAATTAACACAAGAAGAACAAATAGCAAAAAAACTGACCTCAAGAGATTCTGAAGACAAGTGAAGGGTCTTAACATTGCTTATCATTGCAACCAGACCCGTAGCATCTTTCGAAACTGCTTCCCAATTAGGATCATAACTATAAAAATCACCCTCATCGTCTGTATCATCGTCTGAGTCAATAAGTTGCTCCCATGGTTGAAGATTGAGTCTAGCTTCTACAAGGGAACCCAATTCAGCGGTATAGCAACGCGAGACATGACCAGAATAGTCAAGGTACACAAGACTGGGTGTATCAAACCAAACTTCACTGTGAACTTCAGGGTACTCGGGGTAATCGTGATTGATGGTGAGTCGCTTGATGGAAGGGCTAAAGACGTTCCCATTCCAAGCCGGGGCTTGGTTAACATCAGCATAATATAGGAATAACTCCTCAAGAGGTAAATATTAGTCTCTGGCTGCCCTGTTCTTGAGGAGTTATTCCTATATTATGCTGATGTAGTGTCTGTGACAGGGCAGCCAGAGCCCCCAACAAATATAGACACTACGCAGCAGATACAATTCCAATATTTAATCTAGACACTTTAATCCCGGTTGCGATAGCCCCCAACAAATTATTATTTTTTTGGAGTTTTATTAACCTTGCTAAGTAGGTCACCTAGATTTTTATTAGTCTATAACAGTCAAGAAATAAAAAAACATATGGATGACGAAACTCAAAATTCTAACCGTCGGACGCCAAAAAAAAACTAAAATGAATTTGAAGTCCGGTACTTGTTAGTCACTACTTCTGTCTCTCTCGAGCTTTTCAGACATTTCTTCTGCGTGAATTTTCTAAGAAGCTTGGAGAAGAAGCTCGCTCGCAGAACTCAGAACCAGAGATTGTGCATATCTAAAATGTGGAAAACCTTGTTCTCTTTGGGGAAGACGTCATCAACTCCTAAGGAGGATGGATTGATGGAGCATCATCGAGTAACATCATCAAGATCACAACTGTCAATGATTTTTATGAATCCGGAAGGCATAAGATCAGCAATGGAAGTGACTGGTACTGGTGCTGAATTAGTTAGTGTCTAACTCTAACAAAGAGTTTAACAAGAGAGTCCCCTGCTTTTTCATCAGACAAACTCTTGTCAACCAGTTGTGAGTATGAGTCTCAAGTAATAGCAAAACCAGTCCAACAGTTTTAGATGCCTCACTTAGAAAAAATAAATACACTTTTTTTTATGCAGAATCAGATAGAATGTTATTATAACAACAGTCAAATTAAAATTTAAAAAAAAAATTCAGTTTCATAAACAGTTTGTAAATAAAGAAAAAGTAGTAAAAAACTTTTATTGTCGAAATTTAGTTACTCTCTTCACATTTTTTCCTCCAAAATCATCCACTAAACTCATGTAGTTGACCTTTGACTTTTGACTATTTTCGACCATAGCTATCTTATTTAATAACAAAACCAAAATAAAATTAAAAACAATCTCAAAAAAGTTTGAATTATATCACTTGTACTTTTTCGCCCCTAAGATTATCACCACATCCATATGCCATATCTACTATTAATCCTATAAAAACCAAATCTAAAAGTTAATAACTCCTTTTACACCAATACTCAATGCCGACTTTGAACGAAATTGCGAAGTTAGACATTTACATGATTACGTATATGTAAATGTAATCAAAGCAAGTTTTCGATTTTGTAACTGATCTCACGCATGTCTCACATACATTATCAACATGAAATATGAATCGCCTAATTGATTCAATCCACGTAAATTTTTTGGTCGTTGTTTGGAAGGTATTTTTTCTAAAGCAAAATCTTACTAATAAAAAAAATTAATATCATCCTTAATTAAAATTTTGTTAAGTCAAAAACTCCACAAGGATGGTTGAAAAAGACCCAACGAAAATTAATCTTGTAAAAAGCCTAATATTTTCTTTTATAAAGAACTTAATTTTTTTTTACTTAGAATATGCCTCAAAGATTATGGTAAGCCAAGCTTTGCTTCATTTGCCTATGCGGCTATGCTATGGGCCTAGCCTCTGTAAAATTTTTTTTATCTGTGCTTGAAACTCCACAACTCAACTGAGCCGAGAGAGAGTCTTTTTGATCACGCTCCCGGGAGGAAGACGATAAAACCCTCAATGCTAGAAAATAAAATTTTGATCTAAAACATAATTTTAAAAAAATCAAGGATATGTTTGTTAAAAATTAGAATATGAACAGAAACCATATTGAACCATATTACAGTATCTGTAAACAGAAAACCCTAGAAAACCGTATAATTAATACCAAACACAAAACTGAACCAAATCCAGATTGAACCCTATAGATCCAAGCCCTGCAAGAGTCCACCGCCTCTATAAATATAAAGTATAATCAGACGGCAGCGTCGCAACAAGGAGCAGAAACCCTAAAATCACATCTCGTATTCTTTGTATAATGGCCGAAAAAGTATCCCTCAAGCATGAAATCGACTACAATCCTAAACCTGAAGACGCAGGAAGAATCAAAGTCTATGTGAGTATCCTAATATCGGAAGCTCCTATAAGAGATTTTCGACCAGTACTCGCATTCTCTTTGCCTGCCAAAGAATTTCGGGATAGCTTCACGAGGTATAGATGGGAACAACTGAATTGCTTAGAGGATGATGAACGTCTCGATGTCTCTCAGGTTAATTTAGCGAGGACGGAACTCAGTAGACTTGTCACTCACGTCATGTTCTACTTTGTTAACTATCTAGATTGTATTCTGTCAATTTATATTACCTTTAAGCCCATGCGTCGTCCTCCTGCTATGATTGTTGAAGAGTATATACCATTGGAAGAGACGATGATATCCGAAGAGGAAGAGGATATGCGACTCCCAGTTGATGAGAGCGTAATGCACATCCAAGAGCCTAACTGGAACATCTTTCACGTATAGAAAAGGAAACACAACATCATTTGTTTCTTTTCCTTTTTTGTTTTGTTTGGTGTTATGTTTTCTGATAAATAAGGTTGAAGCTCGTTTGTGGACTTCATCAGTTTGGAGGGATTTAGGGTTTATCGAGAAGAGACGTTGGGAAGTTATTCTTTTTGCTTTGTTTACCATTATCTTAATAAAGGTTTTAGTTTTAGAATTGGTTCTTAGCTCTAACAGAGCGCCACTGATATCCGATTTAGAATGGCAAGTAAGTTTGACCTTGATCAGTCTATGTCAAGCAAATTATACAAGAAGACGAAGTCCAGCTCCCACAATTTGTTTTGATGAGTTTAAAATGGGAGAAAGAGTCGTGACCTTACCCTTGTGGACACGAGTTTGACGATAGTTGTATCCTCGAGTGGTTTGCCACCAATCATATTTGTCTTCTCTACCTCAAAATTTAAGATTGCTCATCTTTCATTCTTTTTTTTTTTTAATTGAAGGTTGATATATTGACTGAAATTATATTGTTTGGGTTCCCACTTTTGAAAGCTTTTAAGCTTACAAAAACTTTCTAAAAACAGAGAATTTAGGTAAATGATATTACATTTAAGAAAGTTGCATAAGTGATTTCTGTTTGTTGCAAGTGTTGTGATTGTTGTACAAGTTGCTGATGTTGAAATGGTTGCTGATGTTGCTGCAAGTTAGATGACTCGAAATCACGAAACCAGAGAGATAGGAGAGTATATGAGACTCTTGCTTTCAAATGTTCAAAAATGACTAAGAAATATAAATTTCATATTGAGCAAAAAGTTTATAAGAAGCAAGTTTGCCACGTCTGCATCTATAGAATGTCTCATTCTTTCTTTTTAATTTTTATGTTTCCACAAACAAAAAGAAAATATATTGAACTAAAAGGTCTTGCTCTGCTTCATCTCCAGCAAGCTAATTTTGTATACCTTTTAATTCTTTACAAAACAAAATGTTCATCTCCTCTTGTCTCTTTCTCCGATCTAAGAGAGTTTTAAATTCGCGTCCGACACAGCTTTATCACCTTCGCCACACATCACATGAACCATCCACATTCTATCAACTGATCTGCATACTCCACTACACTTCCAGTCGAATGACGCCACACACATTTCTCCAGCCTCTGCCCTTATTTCACAGTCTTTGGGAAAGATAGAAAGAAAAAGAGAGTAACAACATGAGAAACACTATAATCTAATTTTTTTTACTAATTAGGCATACTAAGAGAAAAAAAACGAAAAAAAAAAATGGAAGAGCTTTTTTTACCTGGAGGAGTACCACAACAGAAATTACGATCATCGATTTGCTCAACCTCAAGACCGATGAACCATGACCCGAGTGTCACATCTTCATTTGCATACTTATGCAAAATTGGCCTGCAAAGTCAAACATTATATGTTATGTTTGGTTAATAATCATTTCCCTTGGTAAAACATATTTTACCTAATCGAAAATCCAAAAAACACAAAGTTGGTCACTTACTGGTTGTTGGATATGTATGTGGCAAGATCCTTTGATATGGCATAAATCTGTCCCGTAGCATGTCGGAAATATTTGTTACCTTCTTCTCCAAATTTCCAAAACTCGGGTTCACGGTACTTGGCCGTCCTACACAATTTGAAAAAAAAAAATGTTTTAAAATCCAACTAAATAGAATAGAATATTCGAAAAGATGATATAATATCACACATTGGGATTATTACTTTTTAGTAAGGACAGGACCGGATTTCATACATCCAATATAGACCCTTGGCTTAGAACGGTGCCTAGCTAATGTGGAAGCAAGCGTACCTGAAAAAGCAAAGAGGTGAGCAAAATATATTCAACAATTTAAATTCAAGGAGAAAAGATTAAAAAAAAAAATATGCTAGAAACATATTTTGGTACCAAGATTGACGTGAACATCATCATCAATCTTGACATAAAACTCAGCATCCCATTTTGCAACTGCACTAGAAAAGAAGCTTTTGGTTTTTGCAGACAGATTGTAATATCCTTCGACATGATCCTGCAACGAGTTAAAAAGAAATCCCGAAAGAAAAAATCAAGAAAACCGTAAACCAAATCCTAGAAGAATCAAGATTGTAGAATTGGTCTCACCAGCCTAAAGAAATCTTTGTATTGAGCATCTTCTGAATCAATTTCCTTATCCAATATACTGTTTGGCGTTGAACTGCTAACACATTCAAGTAAGAGTCTTAGTCTACTTAAAAAAAAAAACACATTAGACTACATTGCATTCATTCACTAAATTCTATGAATTTTTTCACCTGTGTCCAATCATGAATTTGATGACAATTCCTTTCTCTTTTTCTAATTTCTCAAGCTTTTCCCCTGTGATAGATTACATACAAAAGCTTAATAAGATTAGGAGCAATGAAGCATGAAAGGAACCAGAAATTTGAAGGAGGGACATCACAAAATACCCTGAGGCATCCAAGTCTCTCTAAGCGAATCGCGACGTTTTCTACTGCTAAATGCAGTATTGATACCAATCACCATGAAAACTTTGTTCCTTTGGTTTCCTTCTGTTGAAGAATTGGTTGATGAGGCATCCACAATCTGTTGAGAGATATGTGTAGTAGAGAGCTGCTTCTGAAGCATAGAAACTGACTTATCCAATGATCTGTTGTCACAACCCAAGAATATGATCATCAAAACATTATTAATAAACATGCAAGTCTAAGATTTACAAAAATAATAATCATTTCACTCACTCGATTGCTTTATGGGTTTTTAAAACCTCTTCCATTACATCTTTTTCTTGTGATTTTTTCTGTTTTTGGGTAAAATCAAAAGATTAAAAATTATGAGTTTTCAACACCAAAATAAAACTTTTAGGAGAAATTCATATTCAATGAGATTAGAATTATAAGAAAAAATACTTTCTCATGAGCATAATCTTGGGAAACAATCTTTAACTCCTGGTCACGCCGGTGCTGTAAAATGAGCTGGCTACCGGAATCCGACGAAGCTGATCTCAATCTGAAAATGCAACAACAACAACAAACATAATGAAAAAGCAAAAACATATGAAATTATTTTGTAACCGTAGGAAGATTGATGAAAGAGAAGAAGAAACTCAAAAAGAAACAGAACTTGGAGGTGAAGATTGCTCCGAGGAAAAAGCAAGAAATGCAAAGAAGAGGAACCCATGTCATAGTTAGTCTCTTGGAGACTTTGTTGTGCTTCATTGTGAGCACACAAAGAGACACGATGAGAGAAGAGAGGAGAAAACTTTCAAGACGTATAATTTTAATAACGGAATTAGGCAAGTTGTTACTACATGCAGAGAAATTAGTAACACTCTCTATATAAATTGATATTTAATGCATGTTTGACTGTTTAATTCAAAGTATCTAATATGTCAGGTGATTTACTTCCACTTATGAATTTAATTAGATGTTCAAAGAAATGAACTCTTGAGTCTTGACTACCAACAAAACAAATTAAATAACCTTATATGGTTTATTTAATTATATTATTATTTTTCAACGCTTAAACAGTTTTTCTTTTTATGAACCACAAGTTTGTGATATTTTTGGGAATTTAAGATTTTTTGTTCTTTTTTGGAAATCAAATATTCAAAATTGCAGTTTAGGAAAATTCTCATAAAATTTTATAATTTTTTTACTAACATAGATTCATGTTTAATTTAATAAATAAGTCATCAACCTATCAAAAATATATATACATACATATTTTCAAATCTCTGTTAGAAATAGATGGTACTTGCATATTTCATTTGTTTTGTGTTTCGATACAAAAATAATTAGGATTACATGCAAATTGTATTCACTACAGAAGGAGAGGCGTGTGATTCAACTAATTTATTTCTTTGACATGTAGTTTTTTTTTTGTAATAGATGTTTATTTATTATGTTCAGATGAAATTTTCATGTAGTTAAATTTTGTTTTCTCTAAATTTTCAATTATTTAATTAATTTGTTTATTTCAATTTTGTTTTTGTGCGATTGGTTTGGTTTGCAAGTGCAACATATCGTTTGCGCGTAAATGTAATTGATTGTAACTAAACCAATCAAACCGAAATAAGTGACCGGCTACTTCCGGTTGAAAAGTACGCGGCGTCTAGAATCAGTCACCAGTGTTCTAAAAAGCGGTCTAGGCGGTCGCCTAGGCCCCGACTAGGCGCTAGGCTCTCATGCGACGCCTAGATAACCGCCTTGACCGCCTAAAATTACATAGATCTTGTTTAATGTATTTTTTCAATTTTAATTAGAGTTTTATTTATATATATAGTTATAAATATTCATATATTGTTTGAATATAAATATAATTAAATGTTTTATCTAGTTTTTGTTTATAATTTCATAATTTTTAGTTTTATTAGATATTTTATATAACTTTTATATATGATATCATATTTATTATGTTTTATGTTATAAACGTCTAAACCGCCTAAAAAATCGCCTAGGCTCCGATTAGGCGTTCTAGGCGCTAGGCATTGGGTCACCGCCCGCTTAACGCCTAGCGCTTTCTTGAACACTGTCAGTCACGTAGCCGTCTTCACCTATTCAGCCGGTAACCCTTCCAATTTCCATTTTCGTTTATTCCTTTTTTTTTTTTTTTCTCCTTTCCCCAATTCTCTTCTTCTCATCCATAGCTTCCGACGAGAGAAGAAGCAAAATTCGATTGCTCTGGGTTTTTGATCTTTTAGGGTTTCTGTGAAATTTGGATGGAAACCTCAACCCTATCTGAAGATAATCATAAAGGAAGAAGCTTTCGTTGTTTCCATTGTATCAGCTCCTTCAAAAACTCTTGTCTCTATTGCTTTCACAGCTAAAGAATTCTTCTCGTTTTCGATTTTGTGGAATTGGGTTCTTCTAGGTTTAGGTTATGGATCGTATTGCTCAATCAGATCTCTCTTTAGGATTCGGTAGCTCCCACGCTTTACCTCATCCTCCGAGAATCCCAATTGCTGATGATTCAATCACGCTTCAGATTGATTCTAGCTTCCGTCCTTCGTCTAATCCTATGCCTCCTGTTCCGCTTCAGTTGCTTGAGCAGAGATTCGATGTTACCGGATCGTGTAGCCGAGTTGTTGAGGAAGACGATGATGTTGTTGGTGATTATGATGAAGATGATGATGATGATCAAAGGCAATTTATTCTCTTGGGTCATTCTCTGAAGTTGAAACGATGTAGAGGTGGGAATTCATATCCAATGTCATCATCAAGTAAGAGATTTGTAGTTGATTCAGGGATTGAAGGTAGACGAGCCGCTGTTAGAGCTTGGGGTAATCAGTCGATTGAGGAAGCTGATCCTGAGATTCATGAGTTTATGGAAAAGGAAAAGCAGAGACAGTTTAGAGGTATTGAGCTTATAGCTTCTGAGAATTTCGTGTGTAGAGCGGTGATGGAAGCTTTAGGTAGTCCTTTGACTAATAAGTACTCTGAAGGAATGCCCGGAGCTAGATACTACATGGGGAATCAGTATATTGATCAGATTGAGATTCTTTGCCAAGAGCGTGCGCTTGCAGCTTTTGGACTTCATCATGAGAAATGGGGAGTTAATGTGCAGCCTTATTCGTGCACTTCCGCCAATTTCGCTGTTTTCGCTGGTCTTTTGATGCCCGGTGAACGAATTATGGGATTGGATTCTCCCTCAGGTGGTCATATGAGTCATGGGTATTACACACCAGGTGGGAAGAAAGTCTCTGGTGCGTCTATATTCTTTGAGAGTTTTCCGTATAAGGTTGATCCTCGTACAGGGTATATTGATTATGATAAGCTTGAGGAAAAGGCTCTTGACTATCGTCCCAAGATACTTATTTGTGGTGGGAGTTCATATCCGAGAGACTGGGAATTCCCTAGGTTTAGGCATATTGCAGACAAATGTGGAGCTGTTTTGATGTTTGACATGGCACAGATTAGCGGTCTTGTGGCTGCCAAGGTATGTTCATTCTCATTTTTCATATTGCGTTGTGGATTGTTTTTCTTTGGCATTAGTCACTAAACTGGAGGTTTATGCACATGATCTTTGTGTTGACACAGTGATATCTATTTAGCCTGCTTTTCTTGGCATTCTCTTGACGTTTTAGTTTCTGTCAATGTTGTAGGAAAGTCCAAATCCATTCGATTATTGCGATATTGTTACCTCGACAACACACAAGTCTCTCCGTGGACCTAGGGGCGGCATCATATTTTACAGGAGAGGCTTGAAGCCCAAGAAGCAAAGCATGAATCTTAATCACTGTGAGAGCAATATCCAGTATGATTTTGAAGAAAAAATCAACTTTTCTGTCTTTCCATCGTTGCAAGGCGGGCCTCACAATAACCATATAGCTGCTCTAGCCATTGCCCTCAAGCAGGCCGCTTCACCAGAGTACAAGCTTTACATGCGACAGGTAAAAAAAAATGCCAAGGCTTTAGCATCTGCTTTGATAAGCAGAAAGTGCAAGTTGATAACAGGTGGCACCGATAATCATTTGCTTCTCTGGGATCTGACACCTTTGAGCTTGACAGGTATGTGATTAGTTCCTCTTATGCTTAGCAGATATGGAATTTACTCCCACTATGTGATTTAATGCCTCATATAAGCTATTGGCAGCATTGCAACTGTGTCTGATTTTCCATGGTGTTACATCTGCTTACCATTTGTCATGTGTCTATAGGCAAAATTTTACGTCTGAGTTTCTTAATGTATCTCTTATTTCTCACCTCTCTAGGTTGTGAATAGCCTACATGACTAGCTTGATGGCCAATGATCATTCTGAAATTTCTTATCAAACTTGTTTGAGATCGTAATCTATACTTATATGTCTAGTTTCCCAAAGTCAAAGTCTCACTTTTTCGACGTCTGTACAATGCATATGTTTAGCTCTGTGTCCAAAGGCGAATTAAATCTTGCGCCTTGTGACTTTTCAGGCAAGGTGTATGAGAAAGTATGCGAGATGTGCCATATCACGGTCAACAAAGTCGCTATTTTCAGCGAAAACGGTGTTATTTCCCCTGGAGGAGTGAGAATAGGTAAGCAAATTAAATATTCAAGGAAATCTCAACACTTCGGAATTAGAATGAAACTCAGTGTGCTTTGAGTTCTTTTTTCTTGTTGCCTGATTCTTGACAATGGACTCATGTATCAGGCAGTCCGGCTATGACCTCAAGAGGTTGTTTAGAACCAGAATTTGAGACAATGGCTGAGTTTCTATATAGAGCTGCTCAGATAGCTAGTGCTGCACAAAGGGAACACGGGAAGTTGCAAAAGGAACCGCTCAAAAGCATCTATCACTGTAAAGAGATTGCAGATCTTCGGAACCAAGTCGAAGCTTTTGCTACTCAGTTTGCAATGCCTGCCTTTGACATGTGAGTCAGCCTGAAGAACGAGACCAGCTCAATCTCTCTCTCTCTCATTTTTTGTTGCCATGGTAATCTAAATTCATACACCCATTTCTCTATTTTACAATGTCAACATTCCCTAAATTGGCTAAACTTAGATCAATATTTGGGGGGAAAAACAAACTTTTGTGAGTTGCTATGGTCGTTTATTCTTCAATGCTTGTGTACATAGACATTGGGGCTGTGTTGGGTATTAGTGTATCCCTTTGTGTTCTTTTAAAATGGTAATAATAATGCAGTTGAAATTTTTTGATAGAAAAGGGAATAATATTCTTTCAAGATGTTTATATGTTGGGGAACACAAATAATTTCTGTAACCAGAGGAAAACTTGCTTCTGACCTCAATCATTACTATTTTCCTTCAAGAAAAATCATTATATTCTGAAGAAGAGAAAAACAAAAAAACTGAGACAAAAGGAATATACATAATTAGTTTATTTTGTTATGATTTTTGTATTTAAATCATTGTGTGTAAGTGGTAATGTTTATTTGGTATATCAGCTATAAGAAAGTTGGTGTCCTACTGAGGAGGCAAAGCATGGAATTCCGGTGAGAGTCTCTAAAAGCATATTTAGATTCTGCAATTTTTTTGGTTTTGATAATGACATCTCTCCTCATCTATATTATTTTATTATTATTTTTTTACTATCATTCATATCTTATTTACTTATTGAATTTATTTTTAACAAAGCCCTATAGGTTTTTTGATGAAATAAATATAGCTGGCCAAGGAGACAAATCAAAGAGATAGGAAAAGGCTTTCTTAATTGTTACTAATAATCTTGATGATGTTCTTAAAGCTTAGATGAAACTTTAAAATTCATTCATGTGAATTCTCTTGTGTTGTATGCACTTAGTGAAGTTTGAATTTTGGAATGATGATTGTTATTATGACAAGAGTGTAGTAGATAGTTGAACATTTTTTTCCCGCTATAGATGAATTTTTTTGGACGTTTAAAATATTTTGATAAACTAAATGTTACACTATGTTAGATATGATTGTTCTCTAGTTGCTTTAACTTTTTTTTTTTGCTATTGGAAATCAAGAATTAAGAGAGCTAATAGTAATGGGAAATGGCACTTTTGGTACTTGATTACACATATACCAAGTGATTCTTGAGGGTTGAGATTTACTGATAGATAGATACAGAGACAAAAATATATATATATAATATTTTGTGAAAATTGTTCTTTTTGGGTAGAAAAAGGAGAAAGCAAAGATGAGTGAATTGTGTGTAAAGCAAATATTAAAATAAGAATTAGAAACTTAAAGAAGTAAACTAGGAGTGCTTTAAAACAGTGGGTGGGGATGGATTTAGGGTGTGAAATTGGTAATAATCATAATTATTGACACAAAAGCCACCAAATTGTGTGCCCAAAGCATATATTTAGATGAGAGTGCCAAAAGACAAATCTGCTTTACAAAGGATCCATTTTCATCATTATTATTGATTAACACCACAAAATCACCAATTCAAATTAATATCTCTCATGACCTCCTCCTTTGTGAATCAAATCAAATCAATTTTCCAGTTTTGATCATTGGCCTGGCCACATTCATTTTACTTTTCTTCTCCAACTATCTCAAAGAGACAACAAGCACTCCATTTTGACCAATTGCTTTTTCTTTTTTTAAGTTGTTGTAGTCTAAATGATATAGTACTTTTAGATGAAGGTGGCTGATCAATTTTTTCAGTAAACTTTCACTTAATTATCGCGATTTCGATTTTGAAGTGTAAACCGACGACAAATCTAATATTTACGGATTTATTCATAGAAAAATCGTATAAACACAATGTTCACAAAAAATCTGTTATATATCGATTGATCTTTCTGAAATCGTCTAAACTAATTTGTGTCTTTAGCATTGGATCACTGTTCAAATGTCATCTTGTACAACTTTTTAAAAAAGCTCGTTGATTAATCCATCTAAATATGTCCGAATATCATCTTACACATTTTTGAATATCTCACCAACTAAATTATATAATCTAATGTTCATTTCTATAAACAAAACACATACATTTGAACTACCATGTTTCGAAATCTTCTAGAACAACAAACATCTTCCAACGGCTTGAACTACCAAAAACTGAAAAGCAGACATTTACTTTATATATGATTCAGAGAATCACTCCATTTCTAGAATTACATATATAAACTTCAAAATACTAAAATGGAGTAGAGTGACAAAATTCTCAAATTTCAAATTTTTTTTTTCATAACAACAAAGTAAAAAAGAGAGAAAAAAAAAAAGTTACAACAACTCCCTACCAACTGATTCATCTAAGCCTAAAAGCCTACCCAATTTTTTTTTTTTTTTTTTGTAAACAGAAAAACAAAATGTCAGCTTTTGATATTGATTCATCTATGGCTGCAGAAATCCAAAAGCTTTTTTCTTCCTTCAACAATTTCATCGAAGAAATCATCGATTTGCGCCACTATACTCTCTGTCCCATTCCTTAAATTACCAAAATACCCTTTCAGATTCTCCACTCTCTCTCTCAACTCCCTCTCTTCCTCCTCTTCCCTCTCTCCTCCTCCGCCGCCACCGCCGCAGAATCGCCGCTCCAGCTCTGCTTTAAGCTCCTCCAACGCCGCTTTGCTCCGGCGATACTCATGCATCAATATACCTTTCCTTATCCCCATCCTCCCAACCTCAGCCGCCACTCTCTGCTGTAACCTCCCCATCGCTCCGGCGAAACCTCCGACTTGACTCTGCGTTTGCGTTATCTGCGTCTGCGTTGCTGCGTCGCCGGGGAAACAGTAGACGAGACCGTTCATTAAAACCATAAGGAGAAGAGAACTCATGTTCCTAGTCGCGTAAAGCACGCCGCGAAAACCACTGAATCCGTTTTGCAACTTCGTCGACGATTCCATCGCCGTCGCCGACGTTTGTTCCGACCAAAATGGAAACCTTTGAACTCGATTCTCCATTAATGCTCTGTTTTCTTCCTCTATCCCAATCGCTTCTCTTCTACATCCTGATATTGCCCTTATCACCTAAACACCATTACAACAACAAGCAAAGCTTGATTCAACAAAAAGTTTCAACCTTTTGGAAAAAGATTCGATTTTTACGATCACCCACCTGACGAGAAAGCTGAGGAGAGAGACGACGGTGGTGGTGATGACCATCGAGTGTCGACGCGATTGAAATTCCGGCGGAGGAGAAGTTTTCGACGGAAGAGACAGCGGATTTGATGACGAGACAAGCTTCCCAAAGTTTAGAGCTTTCGTCCATATACTCATCGAGCCATTTGTCACCGACGGGAAGTTGAAGTTTTTGAACTAAGAGAGTGAGATGAGAGTGAGAGGTACGAAGAAGACAGAGAGCTCTCTGTAAAAAGTGTACGGACATGAAATTGTTTGAAAGATAAACTCTTTCGAGATCTTCCATTGATCTGTTTAGAAATGAGTAGAATCCGTTCACTGAGTTTGCAGAGGACGGATCCATTTTTTGAGTTCAAAAAGAAAAGCTTTCAAAGATCTGATTTTTTTTTTTTTTTTGGTTGGTCGATGATCAATGAAAAGAATCAAAGATTATTAAGAGAGAGAGAAGTGAGGAAATTGGGGGAGAGGGAAAAAGGAAAGAAGAGAATAAAAAGGTTATATAGAGATTCCAAGGTGTGTGTATGTATGTATAGTATACTAGTTCGTATGTATTTATGTATCTTTTTGTTTTTGTGAAAAAATATGTATTTGTGTATTGAGTGTAAAATGTGTATGTGTATAGATGAAAGAAGAGTGAAAAGAAGAAGAAGGAAGTTGAGGTTTTTGATTCTAATGGTGAAAGGGATTGTTGGGTACAATGATGGATGTTTCCTACTGAGGAGGAAAGATGATTGGCAGTTTTGTCTGATTTTTTTAAAATTGTTTTCTCCATTTTTTTTTGTTTTTAATGGGTTCTAGTACTAGAAGAAAATAAATTGAAAATTTAGATTATGGAGAGATATATTTTTGATGAAAATAATATATATTGGACAAGAATTTGTTTCATGATATCTATCTTAATTTTGTCGGTCTTACACTTGAAGATATGAAAATTGAAAATTGTAATGAGTTTGTTTCTTTTTGTAGAAGATACTCCATGAGCTTTCTTTTTTTGGTCTTGGGAGGAATTGATTCTTTGTATGAATAAAGTCTCTAGTTGTTCAATATAAACACAAAAATTTAAAAGAAAACAAAAATCTAACAATCATGAGCCCAAATACCTTAGTATTTATTTTAGAAATTTTAATTAGGGTATATACCATCTTCGCCATTTAGTATATCCGGATTCATTACCAAACTCTTGATGTTAAACTTTATATCAAAACGTATGACATTCAATGTGTTGTGTGTAACGTTTTTTAAAATATTTTTTTTTATATTGGGGTGTGATGTAGGTTAATTAGCTTATAAAGTTTGATTTCTTGCTAAGTCTATGCATTGAAAAAAAGATAGGGGAGCCAAATAGAAGATCTTTAGGTCTTTTGGGGGGTAAAATCCTTTAGATCTTTTCAAAAGGTAATTTACTTTGACATTTATACATGGTAAAGATTAAATATTGAGATATTCCAACGATCAACCTTAAATGTCCTAATAAATTATTAACGTACATTTGGTCCCTTTTCTTTGCTAAAATGTAAAATAAAAAACAAGGAGCTATTGAATGTTAGGGCTTTTGAGTGGAGGTTTAATTAATATTTCTATTCATTTTATATTTTGAGTTTTAGTGTTCACTTTTTTAGGTGCTTCTTCCCTCTTTTCCTCCCTCGAGCTACTGATTTCGTGGGTTTTTCGCCAAGAAAATAAAAATAAGAAAATGATTAATACTTAATAGTATCATTTCTATTTACCCGATTCATATTTCGTTTATGCCACCTTTTTCTACAATTTGCAACATTTGCCAAAAAAGAATAAATGGGAATGATGAGATTCTTTGTATGTATCCTTTTAGGTCGATGCACATACTCAAAATTCTTTTTAGGACATAGGTCTCTGTGATGTTTGCAAGTCATCATCAGTCTATAAACTTATATCAACCATTTTTACTTTTTTTTCCCCCTTAACAAAAAAGAACTCTTCAATGTAAAAGTAAAACTCTATTGCAGCAGCACAACGATTAGTATATAAAAATAGTCAACAACTTAATTTTGTATTGTAGAAATTATACAAATAGATGCCGCACTAGTGACTTAGTTGATCGAGATTGATTTATATCGTACGACGATAGATTCGTTGAGAACAATTAATAATGTAATCCTAATTTATTTATTTTTAAATTGTAGACTTCAAAGTGGTATTTCGGACCCATTTAACGGCGGATATCTCAAAAGGAATGTTATGTACTCTATTTAAACAATAAATGAGTTGATATGTAAGTTGTAGATATAATAAATGCAATAGAGAGAAAAAATAAACTAAAATGCAAAAGTGAAATAGTATATATCTTCTAAGCTAAGAGTATACTTTGCTTTATTTCTGTTACCAATATTGAATGTCCTTTAGTAGTATTTTAAAAAAATTATTATTTGGTCGGATTTTATTTTATTAATATAAAAAACTAATATTCTTTCTGTTTCAAAATATAGTATGCTTTAGCTAAATGCACACACTTTAAGAAACTTATTTTTATTTAAAAAACTATGATTTAGTATTTAATTTAATAAAATTTAAACAATGGTACAAAAAACTGCTGAATACTACTCCCTCCGTTTCGTTTTACTTGTCGTTTTAGAGTTAAATTTTATTTCAAAATAGTTGTCGTTTTAGGTTTTCGATGCAAATGTTTGGTGAAAATTCCAGTTTTATCTCTACTGTTTTAATGTTTCGGCCAATGAATTTTTTTATAAAATATATTAATAAAGGGTAAAACAGAAAATTTAATGCTTTTCTTAATTTGTGTGAGAAAACCTTAAACGACAACTAAAACGAAACGGAGGGAGTAATGGTCATAAAATATCAAATGAATTACAAAGTTGCATAGAAAATTGTAAACATTCTATATTTTGAAACAAAAAAATTCCTAAAACATCTTATATTTTGAAACAAAAAGAATATCATATAGTAGGTTTTCTCAAGTGAGATTTATTTTCTTTTTCTTGTAAATATTGTTAAATCCCACAACCATTTCCCAACACAAACTTGTGAAATTGTACATATTGACGTTGAAATGCATGTAGTCGTTCGCCACAAAGACTAGTATATTACACAACCGGGTTCGATAGAACATGGAAATAAAAGTCCTCATCGAGATGTCTACACCAAATGAGCCTAATCCGAATATAACATCAAAATTTTTTGGCAACCACAATAAAACACCATTACGTGTAGTCGTGTAGGTTAATATATGTATAAAAAGATAATGATATGATGAAGAATGTGTATTAGTTTATATAATAAGAAGGATGGTGCGAGAGAAATGAGTAGTGGCAGTGGAAGAAGGGGACCATGAAATCTATGGGAAGCGTCGACAACTCAAAAACCTCGGTTTCGTAAAGAGACTTTCCCTCCATTATTTTTCCTTTAAAAAAATATATTAATCATTTTTTAAAATAAGTATTAGTCTCCACCATTTTCTTAGTTCTCTACCATTTTTCAACTTAGAGAAGGACCAAGAATAAAAATTGATAGCCTAGCTAAAATTATTAAATAAACTTTTGAATATGTTGTTTGTTTTGGTTCCAAATTTTTTTTTTTTAACCAAGCTCTCATAAATATGTTTAACTTTCTTTCACCAAGCTCTCTCACAAATGTTTAAATCTATATATATAATGGGAGAGTTTTCTCTCCATCTAGGGTGTCCACATCAGCATCCATGTCATCATAATTTTTTTTTTTTGTGGGCTCCACCTATTTCATTTATTAAAACAAAAACAATTAAACTAAAACTAATTCACACATTAAATAAAAATAATAATTGACAAAAATTAATGAAATATTATGAAAAAACGAAAAAAATTGTATATTAGATCATATACAATATGAAATTTTTGAATAGAGATTGAATAAATATTAGATCATTATATTTTAACATATAATGAGTAAATATTTTTAAATAGTTAGAGATACGAAAAAAGAAACTTATCATATATTTTAATGGTACAAAATTTATTTTTTAAGAGTTACAATTATTTAGTAGAGTAAAGAAAATAAGAGTTAAAAAACCAAATTTAAAGGTTTTTACTTAAAATAGAAAGCAATTCATTTCTGGAAAATAGACATTTAAAATTTGAGTACCGATTAAAAAATAAAAATAATTTAGAACATATTATTATTTATAATTATAATATAATATATATTAGTATATTTTCTATATTATTAATTTTTTCTAAATTAAAAAGTGAATACCTAAAAAAGAAAAACTAAATATTAATTAGTGTTTAGAAAATTAACATAGATTGAAAAAAATTAAGGTGATTTGCAATAATAAAAAAAACTATCCTGAACTTCAAAAATAAAAATAAAATAATCTTATCGAGTATTAAAACTGTTTAATAATAATATTTGAGAATGCTATTTGGAAATTAGAATAGTAATGGTAGATAGAAGAGTTTTTCATTAGAAATAAGGGAAATTGTTAAAAATACCCCTTTTGGTGTGCCTCTTTTCAAAAATGCCCCTTTTAGATGTCCATTTTAAAAAATGCCCCTTTTTAAATCTGAAATTTTTATAAAGTTTTATTAGGTTTATAAGGTACTTATGGATTGTAACTACTACTTGAAGACTCGATCCAAGTATTTATAAAATTTTATAAGGTGTTTTTAAAGGTTTTACAAGTTATTTTAAAGAATTTTTAAGGTTTTTCAAAGGTTTTACAAGATATTTTAAAGGTTTTTAAAAGTATTTAAAATGCATTTATAAGGTATTTATAAAGTATTTATAAGATTTTAGATACATAGAAATGTAGTTTGTGTATGTTTTAATAATATTACATACATATTTGGGTAAATCTTATATTTTTAAGAGCATTTTTTATAAGGTTTTTTAAAAGGGGTATTTTTGAAAAGTGGCATTGAAAAAGTGGCATTTTTGCAAAAGCCCCAAGAAATAAAAAGGATTTTTTTTTTTAAAATAAATGTATTTTAAAATTAGAATAATTTTTATGAGTTCGTAAGTGTCACATTAAGAATACTTTCTAGAATCATAATATACGTTAAATTATATATGTAGAAAGAGATTTTTGTATTTTTCAAATGGTCAAGATAAAGTGCAAAATTTCACGTTGAAATCCTATGTTTACGAATAGGAATGAGTCTATGAAATCTATTTTCTATAAAGCAATTTAGATGCACCAAAACATGGTAAAAAAAAGCTTTATGATAAACATCTCCTCAGATTTCTGTTCACTTTAATAAAAAGATCATGAAACTTATAAAAAAAAAATTGAGTATCGAATGATATGAAGGAGAAAATATAAATGATCTAAGGAGAAAAGAGAGTAGATGTTGGGAGACGACGAGTGAATCATAGAAGATAACGAAAAATATTGTAGTGAAAAATGTGAGAAACGTTTTACTATGTTGGAGAAACTTTATATCTTACTCATATTTAAACATGAAACTTTTGAATTGAGATTAGAGAAATATAAAATTAGATAATTATATCTTAACATATAATGCGTAATTATTTTTAAATAGTTAGAGATAAGAAAACGGAAACTTATCATATATTTTAATGGAACAACAATCACTTTTAAGAATTACAATTATTTAGTAGAATAAAGAAAGTAAGAATTAATAAATACCAAATCTATATATATAATGAGAGAGTTCTCTCTCCATCTAAGGTGTCCACATCAACATCCATGTCATCACATTTTATTATTTTGGTAGGATCCATATATCTTATTTATTAAGAAAAACATATTAAAATAAATTAATTCACATACTTTATATTATTACCCTCCATTTAAAAAAAATTAAAAAAAAAATAAATATGAAAAAACGGAAAAACAAATATAAAACAGATAATGAATAATTATATCTTACTCATATTTAAACATGAAACTTTTGAATTGAGATTGGAGAAATATAAAATAAGATAATTATATCTTAACATATAATGCGTAATTATTTTAAAATAGTTAGTGATAAGAAAACGGAAACTTATCATATATTTTAATGGAACAACAATCACTTTTAAGAATTACAATTATTTAGTACAATAAAGAAAATAAGAGTTAATAAATACCAAATTTAAAGGTTCTTACTTAATAAAAAAAGTAATTTATTTCTAAAAAAAAAAATTAAAATTTGAGAATATATTTGTTAAGGTTAAAGTATCAATTCCTTATACCGGTTAAAAAATAAGAAGGATTGAGTACATATTATTGTTTATAATTATAATATAATATAAATAGTTAAATTAAGAAATTTGTCTATATTATTAATGTTTTCTTAATTAAAACATGGAGGGTTTTATATAAAAAATAAATACCTAAGAAGAAAAACTAAATAGTAATCAGTGTTTAGGAAATTAACATAGAATGAAAAAAAATTAAGGTGATTTGAAATAAAACAAAGACCTATGTTTTAGGAATGGTATATTGAAGAGTTTAATAAAACTGTGTAATAATAATCTAATCGAATAATAAAATTGTGTAATAATAATATTTGAGAATGCTATTTGGAAATTAGAATATTAATGGTATATTGAAGAGTTTTTTAATTAGAAAGAAGAATGATTTTGTTTTTTTTTTTTAAATAAACGTATTTTAAAATTAGAATAACCGGATTGAGGACGAACGGCGAGGTAGACAATGATTGTGGTTGATTTACTCTTACTTTGTTTTGTTATTTCAGTTTCCCTGTTTTTGTTTTACTCTGTTTCTAGCAAACTCTTTATTTGTTTCAATATTAAGACGACAAAAAAAAAAAAAAATAGAATAACTTATGATTTCGTAATTTACATATTTTAGAAAAAATCAACACTAAGAATACTATCTAGAATCATAATATACGTCAAATTATGTATGTGAAAAGAGAATTTTATATCTTTCAAACAGTCAAGATAAATGAAAAACTTGACGTTAAAATCCGATGTTTGTGAATAGCAATGAGTTTATATATGAGATTTGTTGTATACAAAAGAATTTTACATCCACCAAAACATGGTCAATAAAACCTTATGACAAAACATTTCATAAAATTTTCTGATGTTCACTTTAATAAAAAGATTATGCAACTTATAAAAAAAGAATTGAGTATTCAAAGATAGGAAGGAGAAATGATATACGATATATCTTGAGAACTAATTCACAATCGAGTATATTATATATGAGTCAATATAAGGCGAAAAGAGAGTAAATATCGGGAAACAACGACTGAATCCTAAAAGATAACGAAAGAAATTGTAATGAAACGTGTGAATTTTTTTTTACTATATTGGAAAGATAATGCACATGAATAAAGTAAAAAATATTAAATTCAAATGATTAGATTTATACTCAAAGATTCGCATTGATAAAAAAAATAAATAAAAATCCCGCGCAACGCGCGGGTACATAATCTAGTCTATATATATAATGAGGCAATCCTCTCTCCATCTAGCCTATACACATCAGCAGCCATGTCATACTTTATGTGGAGCCCACATTAAATGAAGAATATTGAAATAATAATTGTTTTAATAATTAAAAGTGTGAAAAAAAAAAAAAAATCTTCTTCTTCAATTGGATTTATTTAAAAAACACGTTTAAAAAGAGGTCCAATCTTTCAACAACACACGATCACTAATTTATCGAATATGTTATATTTGACATATGAAGCTTCTTTGACCAATAAAAGAAAAAAAAAAACTTCTTGAAGAGAAACGTTTTTCAATGTTGTATTTGGTTGGAAGGCCAAGTCTGGCCCAAACCCACAATCTTTAGCTCTAATATGAACTTTTGGACTTGACATTTAGGCCTATCACATAACATGTAGACCTATAACGTCTAGATGTTCTGTTGTCTCCTCTGCAATTCATCGGAAACGTCATCTCCTCTGCAGTTCATCGGAACCGTCGTTGCTTCATTCATGGCTGGAGACATTTGCTCATCTGGAATCCCATGAATAAGGTACTTAAATGCATCACTTCATTCATCCATCAATTGACAATTTTTTTGCTCTCGCTTCCATTGCTTCGTATCCCCAAATCGAAAACGAGAATTTTAAAGTAAATCAAAGGAGTATCATTCACTGACTTTTCGAATGTATACGTTACAGATGTTCTTATAACCACCAAATGTATAAATTAATAGATGGTATTTATTATCGTTCTCTCTTCACTTCAGCATCTCACTATAAAACTCATTGACATTGTAACCTAACAATTCCCAAAACTAATCATACCTTTCAAACTCTTCAAACCTTTCAAATTCAATATGGCTGAGGTTGATGTTGTTGCAATTCCTGCTCAAACTGATTACTCAACTTTTGATGATTTACGTCTTGGCCGATCTTCTCAAGACGTTGTTGGCCGGCTCTTACGATTTTGGGATGCCCGTAATATTAAAAAAACGGTGAATTCATGGGCATAGTCGTCCTCTTGCTCGACGAGAAGGTAACATATAAATATATCCTTCTAAATTTCAATTTTAGTAGTTATTTTGGTCTAAAAAATGGTTACTTAATTTGTCGTGCCTTTTATTTTTCTTATATGTAATTGTTTAGTGTTAGTGTTGTTCCATAACTTAATCCATTTTACAACTATCACATGTCTGGGATTGATTTTGCAAAAACTTAGTTTTAGTTGTTTGGTTTCTTTAGCCGTTTGAATAGTCTCATCTCTACTTATGAGTGGTGATCTTAAAGTGAAATGATAGTCAAATGCATGATTTATATATTCTCGATGAGAAGGTTGCGTTTAAGAATATCCTTTCAATTTTAATATATATATATATATATAAACATTTACACATTTTTTTTGCAGTGTTCACTAATCCACTGTTTTATCCCAGCTGTTCGTGCCAGCCAATTCCGCAATGTTTTACAAGAAGGGCGAATCTTTTGTGTTGGAGGGTTTGAAGTGGGAAGGTGCACAAACCTCTACAAAATTACTGACAACCCATTTGTCATCCGTTTCCTACCTTCAACAACAATTGTTGAAGTGAATCACGTTGGAGCTACAATAGAAAGAGAAAAATTTATGCTTCGCAAAGGAGATCATCTCCAAGCTCTTGCAAACATTAATCTTGAACTACCAGGTATAATATGAACAAATACTCATGAGTAATAATTATGGAACCTCATTATATTACAATATATTTTTATTTGATAAATGTGGTGGGTCAAATAAGATTTGTCCAAAGATCAAACCTGGTTGACCCAACATCCACACAATGTCTGGTTGTCCGATTCATGTTGGATTCGTATGCATTCTAAACCTCTTAACATATTAAAAAGCTGGAAACAATTATTACATGACTAATATTTTACATTTTTCCACTAACAGGTCTACCATTGTGTACCTATCATTATGGGATGACGCAGCTGCAACCTTTCAAGCTTATCTCACTTCTGGAGACACGATAAATTCTGTCATGTTGGTAACTACAATAAATCCAAAGCTGTTTGGAGGTAAGAATGAAGTCCTACGTTATATATATTAGTGGAAAATCATAAACAAAGCTGATTTTTTTTCCTGGTTTAACTAAATCTTTGTTAGGTAATTTGTATTTGAACTCCACTCCAGCAACCCGGTTTTATTTCGACCTTTCCATTGAGGCAATCAACCAATTTACAAAAAGGTCATGCTTATTACAACTAATAATTTCAAAGTACCATTGAGGTTATCAAAATCTAACCGAGTTGTTTCTTATGGAGGATGGGAATAGAAGCTACCAAGCATTTGCAAAAGCAGACACATCCGAAGGAATAAAAAAAAGAAATGCTTTGCATTGCTGAACTTTACAAGTTCATATCAAACTCTAATGAACATGTTATTTTTACTATGAACTACACATATTTAAATATGTAATGTGACTCTGAAATTCATTTTAAAATCATGGAACAGACACAGGAAGCTGATTTCATTTGCACCGCCAAAGTTCCTGATGTCCTACAAAAAAGTGGTTGGTCATATGTTTCATGTGCTATGTGCAGCCGCAAATTAGACAAATATGGAACAACCTTACGATGCCCAAAATGCATTTCTGAGACTGTCACTGGCGTTGTGAGGTATTAAAATATTTCACTGGCGAATTTCTTCTTGATGCAAGGAGTTTAAAAGCTGTTGCTATTGAACACCCAAAGGGTGCTAAGAAAGAAATTGATTCCATTTATTACATAGACTATGAAAACTACTACAAGACTATGAAACTAAGTTCAAAAAAAAAAAAAAAAAAAACATGTATGAATATATTAACTTCGATCAAAATAGAAAGTAGCGATTGAAAGCTGCAGAGTCCCATCGAAACTCTGGAGTCTGAAGCTGCCCTATTGTGGTGCTGGTGATGGTCCCATTTATGCAAGGAGTTTAAAAGTTGTTTGGTATTGAACACCCAAAAGAAGCAAATGAAGACGGAGCTGAGTTGTTTCAAAGATTATTACTTTCTTATACCCAAATTTTGGCAGATAATTCAATGTAACATGAAACTAACAAACCCAGAAATGTGCCAAACGAAATAACTTGTATTTATGTCATTTAATTAATGTCATTTTATTTTATTTTCTAGACAAAAGAAATAAAATATTTTTTCAATAACAATTATAAACTATAAGTAGGAATACAACTTTATAATAACAAAACTGAGAAACAAATGCTTTATCTTTATTTATAATTGATCATAAGTTCGTAAAACTTAAAACATTAGGATTTCAACAAAAGTAAAACATACATTGATACAGAAACTAAAAGCTTCTAAGCAAATAACCCCGCGCGTTGCGCGGGTCTCCTCCCTAGTTTCATAAATAAGAGAATACTAGTACTATGAGAGAATGTTTCGTTTTCTTATTATTTGTGTGATGGTCCATAAACTGCTCTTTCTCTGTCTAACTCATTAAACATTATTTCGAATTTTTCGAGCTCTTTAATCCAAGCCAGTATCTTTATTACTACATGCTTCTTAAAAGTTTAGAGCATTTAATAGGAATTATTGATATAAATAGTGAAAACAAATCAAACGTAGAATATCAAAAATTGTGATTTTAAAATTCCGTTGACTGTTCGGACATGGACATACAAAAGAAGACATTGAATAGAGTTGATATGATTATGTGTTGTGCAAGAAATTTTTCGAAAAATCAAGATGACAAATAGTATTGCCTTAGCAATTCTTTAATTATTGTTATATATGTAAATGAGTGTAGTGAGCGCCAGTGACTATGACAAGTGTGATATTTACCTTTCTACCAAGAAGGAGAAGTTATGATTAAAATTAATTAAGGTGGTAAGCAATTGATAAGTGCTGCTTAATCTTTAATTCAGTGATTTCTAATCGGACGGTGGAAAGAGAGAGTGGTAGACTAATTTGATTCTTTTAAGGGTCAACTGCCCCCACTTAAGATCTTGAGATATACTTTTGGTTCGAAACAAAGTAAAAGACAACGTTTTCATTGATATATGTTTTAGTTGTTTGTTTGCGTTGGTGTTTATCTTTATATCTAATTTTTAAGTTTTGAAAGACATTGTAAACGTCAAACGGGTTATTTCTGTTTCCGTGGTTGTTTATAATTGACCCAAAGAAAAAACCTGAAAGTATTTTCTTGAAAAAGATAAATTTCAGGTAAAATGCAAATAGAAAAATAGCGTAATGAAAACCTTAAATATTGAGAATTTATAGTAAATAGTCATGGATTCAAAAAGAATTAAGAAAATAGCCATGAGCTACAGTACTTTGTCTGTTGGATGTCGGAAAGCACGTGAAATTACACACATGCTCTTTATAACATGTTTTTTTCTCGAATTACATGTGATAGAATAATATATCTCTTTTTATCATATTATTTTCCGGTTTTACACGTTATTTATAAAGAGCACATGATATTTTTTGAAAAAACACTCTATTCAGTTTAATATCTTTCTCTATCATGTTATTTTATAGTAATACACGTTTTTTATTATGATCACATGTGATTTTCTTTAAAAAAAGATTCTTATTTTCTAGTAATTCACGGTTTTTATTAAGATCACATGTTATTTCTTTGAAAAAACACTCTATTCAGTTTAATATCTTTCGCTATCATGTTATTTTGTAGTAATACACGTTTTTTATTATGATCACATGTAATTTCTTTAAAAAACGATTCTTATTTTCTAGTAATTCACGGTTTTTATTAAGATCACATGTTATTTCTTTATAAAAAGATTCTATTCAAGTTTAATTTTTCCGTAACAATGTTTTTTTTTTTAAAAACACTACGTAACAATGTTTTTTCTTAAAAATTCACTACGTTTTTTTAAATGGCATGTATTTTAGTTAAATATAACATGTGAAATTTAGATCTTACGTGCTATTTTGAAAAATATCACGAAACAATATCGTCTACTGTAGATCTCAAAACAAACGGAGGATGGTTTTGTTATTTCACCTCTTCAGACAAGGTGGGTCCATGCTGTTTTTCGACAGAATTTTCTCTCTCTGCTAGTTTCTTAATTTATATGTCAAATTTGGCTAGTTAGTAATATTACCCTTAAATATTTTGATAAAGAAAGATGTTTAACCAAAAAAATATGTTGATTTTTTTTTTTTTTACTTTTGGACGTGTTGAAACCCATGTTCTAAAAATCTCCGCCTAACCCGATTACTCCCCGTTTAATCGCTAGGCCCATCCTATCCGCTTCGATTAATGACTAATTCCCTAAAGAAATCAGTTACCCGATTACTTGCTGCCTAATCCGATTACTCCCCGCCTAATCTTACATATTCCAATTATTTTCAGATTCCAAGTATAAAAAAAAAAACTTTTTTTTTTTGTTTTTTTTTTTTTGTGGAAGCCCCCTTGGCTCATTGGTTGATCAAGGGTTAATTAATGCTTCCACACCAAGAGGTTTGGGGTTCGAGTCCCAGGTACTGTGATTTATTAATAAATTTGCAGATTAATGGAAGCAAGTGTGCAGGAGATCTTCAGCGATGTACAATTATAGCCGTTCGCCAGGATTCTACGTAGAGAGAGAAGTGTCGTCAGGTCGTGGATCATTGAAGGTGTCCGTCAAGAGCATGAAGAAAGAAGTATCATCTATCGTGGATCTAATAAGGGTCGGAAGGAATTGTCCGTCGTAGAATCGTCTATGTAACAGTTCTCATAATTTGCAATAAATAATAAATCCAGACGTCAAAACAAAAAAAAAAACTTTTTATTTTTGTTATTCGATCATTTCAATTGGGATTTGTGATGTTTTACAATAATTTATGTTCAAATTTTAATAAAAATCATAAATTTTTAATAAAAATCATGAAATTTATCTCAAAAATATATTTTTATATATTTACTGCAATTTTGAAAACAATATTAGATTAATATGTTTTTAAAATATTAAAATAACCCTAAAACTAGTCTCCGATTAATCCCCGATTTTAATCCGATTTTCCGATTAATCGTTAGGTTCATACTGAGCGCCCGACTAGCGCCTAGCGATTTTTTAAACGATGGTTGAAACTAAAGTTAAGAAAGCAAATTCATAGCTGTTTCGATGTAGCCAATGATATACCACTATATTAATCAAATGATAAATGCCAGTTTTGTATACTTCATGGAGACAGATATGTATCTATGTGGTTATGATACATTCGTACACATGAATATTTTTTTTTTTATATGTGGTCCAAATTCTCATATAAACAATTAAGAGTGATGATTTGAGTGTCTTATCCATGTATATGACAAGTGTTTTTATATAAATTATACATAGATAGAGAATAGTACCCGAAGAAAAGCTCTATAAACTTGGTTTGAAAGTAATACATAGTATTTCAATACCGTTACTTTTACTTCAAGCCAAGAAACAATTCAAACTAAAGGACTAGAGTAAGAAATATTAACCATGAATTTGACTGAACTTAATGTATTTATATGCAGATTGTATCAAAGTAAATAGATCAATCATTTTGTGGAGAGAGAGGAGAGACAGAGAAGGGTGATTATTAGAAGAGTGAGAAGGAAGTGGCAGAACAAGTCATATCAAGAAGAGACAGCTGTAATTTCATAAAGACATCAAGTGGTAGAGAGAAGTGTGATGCTTAAGGTTTGGTAACAATAAAAAAAAGTTACTACTTTTCCTAAAAGCATCTCTACTTCTATTTTTGTAGTTGTACACACTTCGACTCAATCAGTATCACATTACATCATCAGACGTAGACAAAAGCTAGAGAAGCCAGATTTGTCTAAGGAAATGTAACATTGTTAGAAAGGATCTTCCTCATTCATATGTTCATACCTATTAAGCAAGAAAGATAAAGAATAATCTCTAACAATAAATAAAAGCATTTCCTCTTAGGGTTTTATACATAATTAATCTCTGTAATTCTATTTACCTACATCTTCTCCACAATTTTGCCATTTACTTATTGACAATGAAAGTAATTCTATTTACCTACATCTTCTCCACAATTTTACCTCCTAGGGTTTTAGACTTTTAGAAAGGGTTTATGGATAGAGGCGGAGGTAGTTGAATCATTGGGCTAATAGGATAGAGTTAATAGAGATTTTATGGTCAAGTTTGTAGTCAAAGTTTCTTTACTTTCGAGACTCTACTCTTAAATATAAAAGTAAACTATAAATATCATCATTAATCCTATGGTTTTGGGTGGACCTATCGCTCTATACATAACTCAAGGTCGGCCCCTTCCTCTCGTTCTACTACTCTCTCCACGGCTATTTGTCATCATTATCATCCTCCCTTACACTTTTTCTTACCCACACCAACAAAAAAAGATGAATTGTTTTAACAAATATGTAAGTAAAAAGGTGAAAAACTAGACATACGTTCGTGTAGATGATGGGAGTTGTGATAATATGTGGATATGAATAATTCAAATGGTACACTGAGTATATTGTACTAGTGTTCCTAAAATAAGAGCAAAGACCAAGACTTAACTAAAAGATTCATGGAACGTGGCCCTTTCAAAGTTTCCTCTCGAACCCACAAGAGTGCCTTCTTTGTTCCAACCAAATTTTGTCCTTTATTTAAACCTTAAGCGTTTCTTGTTCTATGATTTAACAAGACGCTGGTTTATGTTTGTTTCTCAAGTGCACCTCATGCTATTAGTTTCGCGAAAGAAATAATCCTTTATTCTAAGGATTAATCAAGTAAATCTTATCAATATTTACAGTCTATCTGCAACTTGGCATACATTGATACGTATGCATTTTTGTTACCCATTAAAACTAAGTGAAGTAGCAAAGAAAGAGAGATTTAATTTGAATTCTGTAAATAGTATTTAGTGATTAATTAAGCCACAGAGTGTTCACACTTCACAGGATGACAGGATATATTATAATTCAAATTTAGTGGTCATGTCACTACAACTCAATTTTTATACTTGGAGCAGAATCAACATAGTTACACCAACTACAATAATGGTCGAGATTGATGTCTTGAAGCATTATATAAACCACACAATGACACAACACAGAAAATATATATATATATATATATATATATATATATATATATGATATACAAAACAGAACCATATATATATGATCCTTAGTAATTCATGAGTGACAAAGAACAACCAAAATAATCTTGAAGAAACTCAGCAAATAACATCAAGGTTCAAGGACGGATTGCGCGGGAAGCAGAGGTCTGAGATCAAACCAAACACCAAACCGGTTCATAATTATTGGTTAACGTTAAACCAGATGTTAAAATTTGACAAATATCATAAACGAATTAAAGAAAAGTAAAAGAATTATTCAAGAGAACGATTTTGTCAACAACGTGTTATTTCATTAAACCAGCATAATTAGTAGTTGACTTAGAAGATGATTAGACCCGGTTTACCTAAAATCCGATACACTTCACATCAATCCAGAAGATGATTAGACCCGGTTTACCTAAAATCCGATACACTTCACATCAATCCAACGGTCACGATTAAATCACACAAAAAATGCGTGAATATTATTTATTCAACTACAAAATTCCTCTCTGAACCAAAACAAAAAAAAGACAAATCCGAAACATGCGTGTGGATACGAAAGATCTCAAGATTCCACTCCTCAATTTCTCATCTTTTGCTTCCTCGGTGAGATTTTCATGTCCGATTTCTCTGTTACTCTTCACTGTCTGAACTAATTTCGAAACCCATTTTTAAAGTTTCTTACTTTTAGGTTTAATCGATTCTGGAATTGGACTTAGCTCTTGAGGATTTATGTTTTGATCTATGTCGGATTCATAGAAAATAAAATTAGGGTTTATTTGTATCGGATTAGTGTTTCAAGCCCATTTCTTGATCATGTGTTTTTGATTGTAAAGTTTGGTTTTTTATTCCTAAATTCGCCTAATTGTTGGGGAATTTATGATTTGGTGCAGTGACTCTTCTTGATTTCATCAATAATGGGTTCTGCTATGAGTTTGAGATGTTCCAAGAGGAAAGCAACGAGTCAGGACGTGGAGTATTCGAGTGAATCTCGTAAAAGACGAAAGATATGTTCAGAGAACGATGAAGGAGAGTGTTGTAGATTGATTCCAAGTCTTCCGGATGAGTTATCTATACAGATTCTTGCTAGGCTTCCTCGAATATGTTACTCGAGTGTTCGGTTGGTTTCTCGGAGGTGGAGATCGGCTGTTTCCACCTCTGAGGTTTATATTTTGAGGAAAGAGCTTCGGAGGACAGAGGAGTGGCTTTATGTGTTGACGAAAGGTCAAGAGGATAAGCTTTTGTGGTATGCTTTAGATCCTGTTTCTACTAAATGGCAGAGATTGCCTCCAATGCCGGCTGTTGTTTACGAAGAAGAGCCTAGAAGGAGTTTATCTGGTTTGTGGAATATGATTAGCCCGAGTTTTAATGTTGCTGATATTGTGAGGAGCTTTCTTGGTAGGAAGGATGCCTCTGAGCAAATGCCGTTTTGTGGGTGCGCTATCGGTGCTGTTGATGGCTGTCTTTATGTTATTGGTGGGCTCTCTAGGTCTAAAACAGTGAGCTGTGTTTGGCGGTTTGATCCGATTTTGAACTCTTGGAGTGAAGTTAGTTCTATGTTGGCGAGTCGGGCTTATTCCAAAACAGGTGTATTGAATAAAAAACTATATGTTGTTGGAGGGGTTGATCGGAGACGGGGAGGTTTATCTCCGCTTCAGTCAGCTGAGGTTTACGATCCAAGCACGGATGCTTGGTCAGAGGTTCCGAGCATGCCTTTCTCAAAGGCGCAAGTGTTGCCAAATGCGTTTTTGGCTGACTTACTTAAGCCTATTGCCACAGGAATGACTTGCTACAACGGTAGGTTATGTGTTCCTCAGAGTTTATACTCTTGGCCTTTCTTTGTTGATGTTGGAGGAGAGGTTTATGATCCCGAGACAAATCTCTGGGTTGAAATGCCGTCTGGTATGGGTGAAGGTTGGCCTGCGAGGCAAGCGGGTACAAAACTGAGTGTTGTGGTGGATGGTGAGTTGTATGCTTTTGATCCTTCTTCTTCGATGGAGAACGGGAAGATTAAAGTGTATGATCAGAAGGAAGATACTTGGAAGGTTGTTATCGGGGAAGTCCCTGTTTACGACTTAACAGATTCAGAATCTCCTTATTTGCTTGCTGGGTTTCACGGCAAGCTTCATTTTATTACTAGAGACCCTAATCATAACGTTACAGTCTTACGAGCTGATGTCCCCAACATCCCAGTCTCCTCATCATCAGCTAGCTCCAGTTCTGTTTCGGGTTCACGGTCTTCGAGTGAAAAGACCAATGCACCTAACAAGTCAGACACTGTTACCTGGAAACTCATTGCAACCAAGGACTTTGGTGCTGCTGAACTTGTTAGCTGCCAAGTTATAGATATATAAAGTCATCAAAAGCTTTGCCCATTTCTCGTGGGACATTGAGAATCTCTGTGTACAGCCAGAAGGAAAAAAAGGTTGAAGCTTTTCCAAAGATATTATCGTCTAATTGTTCGATGATCCATTCTTCTGGCATTTGGCTGCCAAAGTAAGTTTGAGCAATAAAATGTTGTGTGACAAATATATAATAATCATGCGACTGTTTTATCGATATCTTTCACATGCGCAAATATACACTATAGCATTACATTGCCTAGCAGTTCAATCAGTTACAAAAGTTCTGAATCTGTAACATCAGTTTGCTACTGCATATATTTCTCTAGTTGGTAACAGAGAAACTTGTAAAAGAAAGAAAGTTTCAGGTAAAATTTGCAACTTATGGTGTGTATCTGATTCAGGCAATTGAAACAGTCTAACACAAAAAGGTATTGAAACCTCCTCCTTTTTTGGTTAATCCATCTCAACTTTCACCGGGAGAGATCACATTTCTTGAATCCTTTTACTTAAACCGGAAAATTCGGTTCGGTTTAGAATCTCTCTTCCTTGCACTGAATTATGTAAGCTCTTTTTGATTGTTTACAATGGTGGACCTAAACAAAGTAAGAAGACAAAAATGATATGTATCGTTCGTTGATGCCTTAAGAATTTAGAACGAATCATATGCTCATAAAGCAAAACCATTTCTAGATTCTCATTTCACACTTCACCTCTGTTCTTTATATCTTACTTTGTTTTCTAGTATATGAAAGTTGTTGCTTTTGATTTATTTCAACGAATCTATTCTATGATTAATTTTTGACATTTTTGTTCTCCCTTCTTTAATCTGATGTGAAGGAATCAGTCTTCTTTTCATGAATATCAAAATATCACTAGCCTGTTATTTATTCCATCCAAATGATGTATTGGTTCTTTTTTGTGGCATGCACGAACGAATATTTTTTCTTCATAATAATATTTGGTTGGTGTTTAGGAGGAAATTTTTATGGTTGAACATTTGAATTTTCATTTTAAATGATTTCCACTTGAACAAAAACCGATGATATCGAATACTATTTTTTTACTTGTAGGTTGGTTTAAAATTGGTTTCATTACTTGGAAGTGAAGATATTTTAGTTATACGTCGGTAACCTTTTTTTTTTTTTCCCGAACCAAATCGAATCTAAAAATTAAACATTAATTCGACCAAAAATTCTTAAACATAACAGTCAATTATTATTATTATTATTTTTTTAACAGTCAATTATTTCATCTGAATTACCCCTCTAGATCACCACTAGATGTTCTTGTAACCATCTTTAATTAGTTAAAGTAGTTAGCCTTCTATAGTTGGTGGCTGCCATTTTCTAACACATTCGAAGTTACATTATGTTTCTTTGTGTATTTATGGTCATCCTAAATTCCAGAATTGCCCCTCTTATCATATAATTTTGGCATATATGCCAACATATTAAAATAATAGACAAGAAATCATTTTCTTTATTAAAAAAATTAATGGGTGTTAAGAGTTCAATATCAAAGGGAAAGTATCAATATCCACTAAATAGGAATCAAAATTATTGAAATCCACTTGTTCAATTTTGATATTGTACAACATGGCCAGAGTTTTTGACTAATATTTGTTTATAAAACTATATCAGTATATCACTATCAAACAATCTAAAGTTAATTCACAAATCTATATATATTGATCCTGATTAGTAAAGTCACTAATAATAATAAAAGTCAGCTTTATTGATGATATATATGGGAATTTGTAGGGGTAGAAAAGTCAAATTGAGGAGGATTCAGGTATGATTATGAAAATAATAATAAAAAAAAGAATCTGACTTGACAAAGTTTCCTAATTTGTGTTTTGCTGCTCAAAGACAGCCTTGTAAGTTGTAACCAAAGTGTCTCTCTTTTCTTCTTCTTCTTCTTCCTAAATTTCTCTTCTTTATCATAATTTGGATCTGTTCCTTGAAAAAAACTTCGATATAGATTTACGTATCACAGTCAGAAAGAATAAAAATCGTTTTTTTTTTTCCTGCTTGTGCTTTTTAGCAATAGAGATTTGAAAATTTCCACGAGGATTGATTTGGGTTTTTGTTGTTTGTTGTTCTGTTTTGGGTTTTGGAATTGGGTTGGTGAAAAATCAAGCCTGTAAAGTGTTCGATGATTTTCCCCAGAGAAGAATTTTGAAGTTTCTCTTTTTTTTTGTTTTTGCTGGGGAAAATTGAAAGGACATGGCAGGTGAAGAAGATTGGATAGAACTCAAGTTTAGACTAGCAGATGGTACAGACATAGGTCCGAGCAAGTACAATCAATCTATGACTGTTTCTTCTCTTAAAGAGAAACTCATTTCTCAATGGCCTAAAGGTATTTGTTTGTTATAATACTGATCCTTTTGCTTCTTTCTACAGCTTCACGGTTTTTGATAATTGAGTCTCATTTGATTTGATTGTGAGTCATGTTTTTTGACTTTCCATTGGGTTTGATTATATAAAATTTGTCTTCTTGATTCTTGGCTAGTCTACGTGTTGAACTTTGTAAAGTATGAGAATTTATAGTTGTTGTTGTATAAAAGCCTACTCTAATAACTGATTTTGGCTATATAACTAGTATAAGATTGATGTCTCAAGTTGTATTTTTTTCTGTGGTTTAGGTGTTTCTTGGCCTTATTTGAAACTTCTGTTGCATTTATTTACTCTACTTAAGGTTGTGTTAGAACTGCATTTTCAAATGTTTCTCTATTTCACAGATAAAGAAAATACTCCAAAAACTGTAAATGATATGAAGCTTATCAATGCCGGGAAAATTCTGGAGAACAACAGGACACTTGCTGAATCTAGGCTTCCTGTTTGTGAACTTCCTGGAATGGTCATTACTATGCATGTTGTTCTTCGCCTTCCTACTCTAGACAAAAAGAGCGGTAATTTTGCGTACCTCAGTATACTGTTTTATCGCAGTGTAACAATATGTTTCCTTGAATTCTGTACTCGCTTGCAACTATGGCTTTCAGATTCCAACTTCCATGTTTTTTTCCATAGGATTGGTGCTAATTACTTTCACTTGAGATCATGGTCATATCATCTCATTATATGAAATTTTCTGTTCCACAGAAAAACAGCAGAATGATCCACCGATGAAGAATCGATGCGTGTGTACCATTTTGTAGCTGCAAGTAAATTGGATCATAGAGATTAATATCCTTCATGATAATGGTTGGCATAGATATTGAAAACAAATGATCTTCATAGAACAGCTTCCATAGCTTCAAACAAGCTTTGAGAAGTTACTTCAGTACAAAATGATTGGCATAGATATTGAAAACAAAAGATCTTCATTACAGAATTTGGTTCCATGTGTGTGGCCGTGTGGGTGTTAATTTATTTTTCAGTTTTTTTTCTATCAAAAATGGCTCGACAAAATGTACTATGGTTCGTGAAGGATGGTTTTTCGTATAAGTCATTGCTGTAATTCTTAGTTTGCTTTGTACTCTTGTCTATCATTTTAGTTTGCTGTAAAATGATTTTTCTTAGAACTAGTTTATATTCATTCTTGCTTACATTACAACATTTTTTACATACATACTTAAAGAGATTTCTTCTACTCTCTACTCACTTACCGTTACTCTCTTATCTTACCTCTAGATACTAGGTTCACTTACAGAAGCAACCACTCAAAGTTAAGACTCCAACCACTCCTAACAACTCTTAAGTATTCTACTCTAACGAAGATTCACAACAGAAACACATATTTAGGCCAACACCAGTTATGACCCAAAGAACACCTTGATGAGAAAATGGTGCATTGTCTACATAAAACAACAGCTTACACAACCCTTATTAATATGTTGAACCCTTGATGAGTTCCTTACCGTGATTGCGTGGGACGGGAAGTGTGACCATTCAAGATAGTTGTTTCCTTTTGTTTTTTTTTGACAAAAATAGATTAAAGAAAAATGATAAAGGAGAAAAGAAAGAAGAGAGAAAAAAGAACTCCAAAAAGATAATGAGTTAATGAAAAATCAAATTTATTTAAAACTCTACTTTTAAAACGCAAGGACTGAAACCCTTAAACAATGAACCAAATTCTAAGGGTCGTGTCACCTAAGTACAAGGTCATCTAAATTTCACATGGTAACTTGAAACGGCACAATAGACAAACATGATTTTTGGCAAACCACTCGTGGATACAGCTATCGTCAAACTCGTGTCCACATGATAAGGTCACGACTCTTTCTCCCATTTTAAACTCATAAAAACATATTGAGCACATTTCAGAGCAGGACATCGTCTTCTCGTATACTTTCCTTGACAAAGACTCAACCGCAACCTTACATGCCGGTCTAAACCGGATATCAATGGTGCTCTCATCAAATGGGACTTGCATATCCTCTTCGAATATCGTCGTCTCTTCCAATGATTGCATATATCAGACATACTCTTCAATCGGGGTAGGATGAATGAACTAAAAGGTAATATAAAATAAAAGAATAGACTTTGATTCTTCCTGCATCTTCAGGCTTAGGATTGTAGTCGATTTCATGCTTGAGGGATACTTTGTCAGCAAATAAATCCATTAAAAAGAATACGAGATGTTGTTTTAGGGTTTCTTTTCCGATCTTTGTGACAAATTTTGTTTCTATTTATGCATTTTTTTATAGACTGTGTGGTGGACTCTTGTAGCTAGGGTTAGAATGGGATTTCTTGAATTTTTGTTTCCTTTCAGTTGATTGATCAAATGAATATATGAGTTTATCTTCAGTTTCTGGGGTCGCTTCCCATATCTTGGTGAGTTGGGTTTGAATTTGACTCAGTTCTCAGTGCATATCTTCGTCGCATATGGGTTTTTTGTTTGTAGTATGAGCGACGAGATACATCAGTCACTTTGGCATGCATGTTTAGGGATGATACTTCTGGACCGGCTTCTGCATTCTATTGTGTATTAGTTTACGCAAGGACACGTTGAAAATTATGGGGGTTCAGAAGCTGTATGTACTCTTTGTGCACATATTCCAAGAACCAAATGTCGAGTTCTTTCATTCAAGTTTCTGGCAGATCCTTCAACAGACGAGGTGTTTTCTCACATAGTTTTGAATCCCATACCGCCTGAAGATGATAATGCAGAATCATCTAGATCAAGAGAGGCAGTACGGGGTTACATCAATTCTACTTATTATAAGCGTCTGGAAAACTACGATATCAGTGATGGTAGATGCTCCCTCAGCACTGCACAATATTTCCTAGCTGACAATTTCTTCAAGAAGGAAGACATGACTGACATCATACACGATTTACATAACCGTCAATGGCCCTTACAGCATACCTTTGAGTCTATGACAACACGAGCCGTTCCCACTTTCTGACTGTGGATGGTCGCATTTCGTTTCTTCCAAAAAGATTAATGCAGGATATTACTTGATTTTCCTTAAAAGCAAGGATGATAAAATCACGGTTGGGATTAGGAGAGAGCGGGACCAACGAAATTGGGGGCCCCACAAAGATTAAAGAAAAATTAGTATCAAAGTTTACATAAGATTAAAAAAAAAAAAAAAAAAACTAGAATTCAAATATTTGTTAAAGCAAATTACTCTTGATTGTTTTAGAATTTCTTTAAATAAAAGATTTTCTCTTATTAGATGGAAAAAATCTTGTGGTCGTAGAGAAAAAATAACATACTATTTTTCTTTTATCATTCAATTGTATATAATAATTATAAATTTTTTAGGCACGCAATTTTTTAAAATCTATATATAATAAATAATATATATATATATATAGTAACAAAAATAATTAGGTGAGACCCTCTAAAATGGACCCCATTGCAATGTTTCATAGCAATGTGGTCAAGTCCGACTCCTAGAAGTAATGGCGCAATCAACATGAACAATGATCCTGCGGGATTCCTTTACAACATCAGACATGTAGCAGGTGCAGTCCGACGGGATATGTCGCTGAGCGTTCTATCCGACGGTTGGCACGTCAAGCTTTTTCTATGATTCATTTTCCGTAGACATGTCGCTGAGCGTTCAATGGGTTACTGGTATGAGAGTGAGAATGCCAAGGCCGACCAGACCAGGGACGTTTTCTAAGTTTGGTTTCATGACTTGCGTACGGAAGCATTTTGTTAGCTGTCCTTGGAAACATCTCAAGGTATTAGCTACTTGTGATTATGTTTTGTCCACTTGTCGATACCTTCTGATTATAATAAATCAAATTGGGTCTGGTTTGATATAATATCTACAAGTATATTCAACAACAGTGAAATAACAGAAGCTTTACTGGTAACGAAAAAGACATGCCACTATATCTGTGTTCTTATCCTCAACTAAGCTTTTCATTCTTTTAATTAAAGGGTTTTCAGTTTTTCTGTACAATACAAAGAAGATATACTTCGAGACCCCCATATCTGAATAAGCAACCATTATATTAAGCTATCTATAACTCGAGACCGCTGTTGGAACTTGGATTCAACATTCTTGGAGCTTATATACATGGTAAGTAACATCTGTGCATTAATGTTCACCAAGAGTTGCTGATGATGAACGGTTCAAGAGCATAGCCTTCTTCGATGCCCTTACGTTCTTCAGAGTCATCATGAGCTTTTGTCTCTCTCCTTCAACCTCTGCAAACTTGAGGCTTAGCTGAGAATAACGGTCATGCATTTCCCTAAGCTCTGTCTCCATAGACGAATACCGGCCTTTGGTCTCCAGCATTTCTTCAATTAGATTATTTATGTCTCTGAAACTCTGGAAGATTGCTTCGTCATCGGTGTGTTGCTTCAAGAAAGAGCTGCAATTTCAGGCAAAAAGGAATAATATGTTCAAAGTCTAATATACTTCTTTCTCGTTCCTGCAGTATCTTGGTTTTACAAAGGCGAAAATAAATAGCAGAATTTTTGAATCGTGTACCTCTGGAAATGGATGGTCGATTTTTTCTTTCCACGCAGTGCTTCAGCAAGTTCTATTTCCAGTGCAAGAACCCTTTCCAATGCGTTTCCGCAACTGAAATTCTCGTGAGATAGAGGGAAGATACTTTGCAGTTCTTCCTTTGCCTGTTGAAAACAAGATCATAAGACTTCTGGACAAAAATGCTTCAATATATTACAATCTCTAAAGGTAAACATCTGCACCTGACGCAACTGTATCAGCTCCTGTTCCAAACCCGGAAATCTGGTGTCTGAATCATTATCATCTTGAGGTTGAAGTAAATTCTCATTCTTCATCCGTTCTAGCTGTAAAGAAGACAAAAAAATATTAAATATCCAATGACGCTAGGCAAAATCTTTCTGTAGATACTGACCAACATGTAGATATTGTAATTCAGAATTACCATCCAATCCAAACAAATTTTAATCGTCAATCCAGTATTACCTCATTGTTTAGGTGATCCATGCTAGACCTTAAAGTCTCTGCCCTGAAATTATCATTGATCAAAGCTAGGCTTTCTTCACTTTTGTCCAGCGCCATTGCTTCTCCGGAAGGTAATTGGTCTCTGTTTCCATTTACATTGCTCAATTGAATTGCACCCTGATGAACAACAAACATACATTAAAAGGTGTAAATATAATAAGCATGACTAGATTTTAACCCGCGGTGTACCGCGGGATGATTTAATTTTAAAGTTAGTATAAAAATATTTTGTAAATTGTATCTCCTTATAACATATTTATTTATATTATAGTTTACAATTTTTATTAAGTAACGGTATACCACGAGTCCACGAGATAATTATTAATAAACTGAGGATTTAACCCGTATTAAAGCGGTATATAAATATTGATTCAAATTCGTCCGCCATATAAATCATTTCCGAAATATAACTTGTTCCGTAATTTCTTAACCCGTCCTGTGATTTGTATTAAAAAAAATAAGGATTAAATCCGTATTGAAACGGCGGATTAATGATATTTTAATCTTTTTATTATTGTTGATTCAAAAACCCGTCCCGCCAAACCCATCCCGCCAAACCCATCCCGCCAAAAAACTCATTTATTTTATTAATGTTCTTATTTATGATATGATTCTGAATCATTGTCTAAATATTTTAATCGATGTAGAACGTTGAACACACATTTTCGTCAATTGGATAATATATGTCTGTTTTTAAAATTTCGAATCACATTATATGCAGAAAAAAAATTGATTTTTTTTTTTTACTTTATGTATTATATGATGATTCAAAACAGTTAAAAACAAATCAAACAAAGATTATAGGAGAATCATAATTATAAATCTTAATCAAATCTTCTAAAAATCTAAATTATTAAATATGGAATATCCGGTGTATGAGTTGGGTTAAATATAACCCGACCCAACAAATTTTTTGTGAAGGAATTTTTAAAATGGGTCGGATATCCGATATACCCGAAAGCTTTTTTACCCACCCGTCACAAAAAGTGCTGCGATTATACTAGTATAGATAAGAAATTTGAAAGAATATGCTTAATATCTAACTAGAGAATTATCTACAGATAACATTACGTAGACATTTCATAAAGAAGATGCAGCAGAATTTTAACATGACTGGTTAGAGCAGAACTAGTTTTAGCATGAGGTCTACGATACC